GAGTCTCCTGCCTCTGCCTCCCAAGTAGCTGGGACCACAGGCGCCCGCCACAATACCCGGCTATTTTTTGGTTGCAGCTGTCATTGTTGTTTGGCGGGTCTGGGCTGGATCGAACCTGCCACCTTTGGTGTACGTGGCTGGCGCCTTAGCTGGTTGAGCTATAGGCGCCAAGCCCACACAAACTTTTTAAAAGACTTCAGTGGGCCTCTAAATGTCTCATTCCTAGGGGATTTTTAGAGCACAGTTTTGGGTTGTTAGTTAACTTTCCTTTTGGAAAGATAAGTAGCCCAATGGGGAGGGGGAAAAATAGGAGCCAGGCATCTGAGATGGATCAGGCATTTTCTACCCAGAGGATTCTGGGATAGGTTCAGGGGCCAGAAGTAAAAGAAAGTCACTTTCAGGAAGTCCTTATTTCAGGGATCTAACTTCTAGCAACATTACTCCCTAGACTCTTGTGGTCCATGAAAAATCAAGACTTCATATTTGTTATTCTTCCTCTCTCAAGAAGTTTTCTCCATATCCTAAGTTCTATCCCAGTTCTAGTGTCAGCCTCTCCTACTCAGTTTTCTTGTGAATTATGTTTGTATCTGGGGGAGAGAGTCGTGTGCCTGCATGTTCCATCTCACCCAGTGAGCTTTTCCCTCCCCTCTCTTTTTTTTTTTTGAGACAGAGCCTCAAGCTGTCCAGCAACCTCCAACTCCTGGGCTCAAGCCAGTCTCCTGACTCAGCCTCCCAAGTAGCTGGGACTACAGGCGCCCGCCACAACGCCTGGCTATTTTTTGGTTGCAGCCATCATTGTTGTTTGGCGGGTCTGGGCTGGATTCGAACCCGCCACTTTAGGTGTGTGTGGCTTGTGCCTTAGCCACTTGAGCCACAGGCGCCAAGCCCTCCTCCCCTCTCTTTTGTTCCAGGCCCTTTAAAAACCCTCCCCAGGTGACTCAGCTTCCTTCCTCATTCCTTTTGTTCAGGACCCAACATTCCAAGACTGAGGGAACCAGCCAGCCAATCATAACCCTGGAAATGCTGCCTCAGGCTTGAGATTGGCTAGAGCTGTGGTTGGCGGGAAGGTCACCACACTAATATATAAGAAGTTGAGGACTGGGTTTTTGCAAATTGGTCGTAGGAAGGAATTTGTTCTGGGGGTGCTTATGTTTTTGGAGAGAATCCTTCCAGTAGAGCTGAAGCCAGCTCTCCCTGGCTTGGAGAGCCTCAAAACTGGAGGCAGGCTGAGAACCCAGCTCTGTTGGTCTCCTGGGAGCTTGCCTGTCCCCTGCCAAATTCGGTTTTTTGGATTTTTCCCTGGATCTGGGACCTTATGGTCTGAAGGCTGTGTTCTCAGGCCTGTTCCTAAGAAGTCTTTTACAGCAGCCCTGGATCCCTCCAGTCTCAACATTCTGCTTTCCCAACGTCGGAAACAGCCGGAAAATAAACACCCTGATGACTAAACGGTTTCTCTAGCTAGAGCCTAGGGAAGCACTAAAAATAGAGGCCACAAGTGAGGGGAGGTTCCCCACTTGAGGGGGGAGGCACTTTCCCATCCTGCTACTGCCACAGCCTCAAACCTGGCACAAGTATCTGTTCTTCTCCACGTCCTTGGGAAAGGGGCAGATGGGCTCCCTCTGCCTACCCTGAAGTCTTTTGGGCAAGCTAGTTCTGCCTAGCAAGGAGAACTGACATCTTCTGGTGTTGGGAAGCTTGTCTCCCACATTCAATGAGAAAGTGGAACATTGCATAAATCAGGTTTTGGGGAGAAAGTGGAACATCGCATAAATCAGGTTTCCCGAAAGAAGGGTAGGTAAAAGCGGTCAGAAACTGAGGCCAAGGAAATAGGAGCCTCCAACCTGTTTGCACAGCACCATCTAAGCTTGCCTCCTTTGAGGTTTGCATGGACTAACAAGCCTTAAGGAGTCTTTCGGACCAGCCTTTGGTCCAAAGGTCAGAGTTACTATAATGCAGCATGAGGCAATCCATGTATGCGAACTAATAATCTTCACATCAATTTGTAAGAGTTAGGTACTATTATCATAGTATCCATCTTATGAGGAAAACTAAATAATGTGCATGTGTTGACAATTAATGAAGTGTGGAGTAAGGATTCAAACCAAAGCAACCCTGCTGCAAAGTTGCTGTTTCTAACCACCATGACACGTTCTCTCTCTCCCCATATACTTTGCTCTCTCCATCACTAATCCAGAACTGAGTCTTTGTGCGGTGAATCAGACCCAACTAAAAGAAATCACGGTGTATAAAGGACCGAGTACCCTTCTCTTCTGCAAGGTTCTTTGAGATCTAAGTCAGATTCAATCATTTCCTCAACTCTAGGTAGAAAACATCAGGACTTGGAAGTTGTCAGGGGTGCTAGAGAGGAAGCCTGACGGGGCAGTTGTCCAGTAGCCATGGCACCTGGACAACTCCTGTAATAGGGCATTTAAAGATTCACCACGCCCTGGGGCAATCAGAAATTAAAAAAAAATGTTTTAAAGGGCTACTGCTGCTTCTTTAGTAAAATGCTTGTGGGTGTTTCCTGTGCGGCGGGTGTGTGTGTGTGGGGGGGGGATGAGGTGGTATTAGGGTCCCTCCCCTTTAAATTGTCCCCTCGGCAGTAAGTGCTCTGAGGCAGGCCGCAGGCACTGGAGATTAGGTCACCCAGGAACTATGAGCTGTCGCTTTAAGTTGCAGGGCGTCTGCCTAGCAGAGCCCAAGGAAGGGAGGGGGCCGTCACAGGTAGAGGGAGCAACTGAGCTGGCTAGGTAACTCCCTCCAAGAAAAGAACGTCTCCCTTTAAGTGGGGCTTTGTTACACACCAAGTAGGGGAGAGGAGATCTTTCCAACACTTACAGTCTCCCCTCAATTTATCTGTTTAGACTCCCATCTACCAACTCTCCCGGGGCAGGGGTGGGGAACGCCAAGGTGGCGTGCGTGTCCGTGAGAGTGTGCGTGTTGCTCTTCGGGCCTCCCGGGACAGGATCCGCTCGAGCGCGGGAGGAACCGCGTTAGGCGGCCGCCGGCGCACGGGGAGGGAGAACCGAGGCGCGGGCCGATCCCTTTAAAGGCCTTTGGGTCTCGCCTCCCTACTTTGCCTCGCTCAGTCCCTTCCTTCCTCCCTCCCAGCAGGCGGAGGGATCTGCTTCTGCCGGCGTCGCAACCTAGTCCGGGAAGGTGGCGGGGTGGAGGCTGGCCCGGCCCAGCCCGGCCCGGCAGCCGGAGAGAAGCGAGGGGCGGGGCCGTGTTCTCGGTACCGCCCCTGGTCTCGCCCCGCCCTCCGCCCCCACAGGTTCCTCCCATTGGCCCCCCCGCTTGTCCGTCACTCCCACCCCCCACCCCCCCCCAGCCAAGCTAGGCTGAGCAGTGCCTACGTCGGCCTCGACTCCCGGGGGCTGGAGGAGTTACCTTTGGATCCCGAAAGGAGGAAGGAAGCAAAATATCAACAACAGCCGAGGCGGCTTGGGCGCTCGGTCTCGGTCCCCAGCTTGCTCGCCGCCCGTCTGCTGGCCCCCGCTCCCACGACGGGGGCCCGGGCCCCCCGGCGCCGCCCAGGGCCAGCGCGGACGCCGGCCTCATTTATTATTCTCTTCGCTCGAAGCTGCGGCTTCCAGGTGTTGAAGATCCCCCGGACAAGGAGCAAAGGCTACCCTCTCCCTGCCCTGACACCCCCTTTTCCCCAAGCTGGGCTGGTGAGTAGAGAAAAATAATGCGCCTGCCACTTTAAGAAGCCCCCTCCCCCACCCGGTCCTGGGGTTGGGGTGGAGGGTGGTCTTGACCGTCCCCCTGAGGGTGGGATGGGGTACCTCTGTGGGTTGCGACGAACTCGCGGAGCCGACTGTTTTCGTGCGGCGTTGGTGGGGATTCCATAGGGGAGTGCTTGTGCCAGGGGCTTGGCTGTAGGGAGACAAGTGGAGTGGGCTGTGATTTCCTCGGGTGTTCGGACTACGGGATGAGGACGGGAGGGGTGGGGGCGCGCCGGCCTGTTAGTCTCTGGGGGTTACGACGGTCTCTGAGTGGTCTGGGAAGGGGTACCATCCTCAGAAAGGGTCTTCGGTGACAGCCGGGAGCGACTGACATTTTAACAGCCGGCCCTCCCTCCCTCTCCCTCCTCTTGCCGCCTGTTCCCTCCTCCTTGGCCCGAAATGGTGCAGAAGGGGGCCTGGGAGGGCGGCGGGAGCCGCAGCTGTTTGGGAAGCGGGGGAGGGAGGGGGATGTTGTTCAGATGACACCCGGCCGGTGGGTTGGGGTGAGCTAGTGTGTGTGTCTCCCGGGCCATGTTTACCGGGTGCTTGTGGAGTTGGGACGCGGAGTCGCCACGGAGGTGGGCGCGCAGGACCCTTCCTTGGGACCTCCCAGCCCCACTTTCGAGACTCCTGATCTGGTTCGTCAGCAGCTCTAGCTGGAGAACTCCCTGGCCAGAAGTTTGCAGCTGTTTAACATCTAGGCAAGAGTTCTGCAGCCCGTCCTCACCTATGGCAGGCTGAACTGGGCTGGGCATGGGGGTCTAGGGAGTGTTGAGGGGGCTTTGGGGAGGGAGAGCCAGGGAGACCAAGATGCATTTAGTTCCCTACTCCAGGGCCAGCCTCCGTCGGTCCTGTCAGGTTGTCCCATCAGGCTCGCGTGGTACAGAGATGGAGAAAAGGCGCCCCCTCCCCCACCATAACCCGCCGACCTCCCCTCCCCCGTGAATCACGCTGATCCTCAGCAGCTTTTGGGGGGTCTCCTCCTGAAAGGGGGCTCCTAGTCATGGGCACGTTTGGGGCCATCGACTGGGCTATCCCAGGTTTGCTCTTCTGAGGGAGGCTCTCTTTGCCTCCCCTTTCAGGGTGAATGGTTGGTGACTGGGGAGGATACAATGGGTGGATCCTGTGTCCCCCTTTCCTATGCCCAGCCCTCCATTTGAGTTTTCCTCAGATGGTTTCCTTGGTTAGTGAGGGTGGCTCTTATTCACCCTCCCCCATCCTGTCGGTGGGTCTCTGCAGCAATTCAGGGGCCAGCCTGGACTATGGGAAGTTTGCCGTCTGGGTCCGTGACCTTGGGCTGCTGTGGCCTGGAGATAGGAGGGGAGCCCAGGCCAGCTTGACATTGGGCGTTTTGAAGTTAGAGAGCTGTCTACCTCTCACTCCCCTCCAAACCCTTAGTAAGAAGGGCTTAGTTGCTGAGGAGAGCATTGAAAAGGAGCATGTCTGTTCACAGATGTCCATCCGCTTGTGCCACTGGGTCACACCCGCCCCAGGACTTAGCCTGACTGTCTCAGCTCCCACGGCCTGCCTGGGAATGAATTTCCTTCCTGTGGTTTCCCAGTGTGTGGAACAGGAGATGGGGGTGGGGTGGGACCATTGTGGGAGTGGCAGAGGACCTGTTTATATGAGGTGATTGGGGGACACAGAGCTTATGTATATCTCTTTTCCCATTTTTCTCAGCACAGGCATTTGGGCCTTTGGGTCTCAGTGGTCATCATATTCTCTTTGTTATAACTCCCCTGCCCACCCCCCTATACCAAGTAGGCATTTTCATGATTGCTTTTGTATTTGTGTGCATGTATATTTGCAAGGGGAGGGGTCTCTGGTTTCTCTGGGGAAGGAAGGAGCTTTCACTGTCCTGTAGAGACCAGAGAGGTAGAGCTTTCTACCTGAGATCACACAGCACATCTGTGTCAGAGGTTTTGTCTTTCTACTCTTCCAGGCACAGCTTCGTAATAGGGAGAAACTCTGTGAAGGAAGACCTACAATCCTTGTCCTTGGAGGCCATGATCCAAGGAGAGACACAGGACCCAGAGGGCATCATAACCCTTGTGTGGAAGGATGTGCATGAGGGAGTTGGCTAGAGTGTCTGCTATGTCCAGTGTCTGAAACGGTGGAGAATTGGAAGGGCGGCAGGTGCTGGCCATTGTCCATCACACGCTGTGCCTGGTACCCCTGAGCTGGAGGACCGGGGCCTTCTGGCTCTGCCCTGCTTGTCTCCTGGCTCTTCTCGTAGGTTGGGAGATATGATAGTCTTTCTGGCTGCTGTTACATAATCTCTCTCCAGCAGGGTGGTTTTTTTTTTTTTTTTAAATCTTCCCTGGGTCTTTCCTGGGAGGTATGATGGGGAGGAGAAGGAGGAGAGAAACTCCTCAGGTTGGGGGCCAGAGGAACAGCGGCAAGAGCCTGGGGAGAGAGTACCCTTCCCCTTAGAGGGCCTTATAGTGAGGCCTTATGGATTACAGCCCAGCCCTTTGTACCTTCCTCCCCTGATCCTAGCCTGGGCAGGTCCTTCATCATTGTCATTCCTGGCCCTGGTGTCCCCACAGGGGCCAATCTTCTCTTCCTGGCCTTCCTGGTTGGCACTGGGTCCAGAATCTCAGTGCTTTCCTCAGCCTGGTGTGGGTCCTTATTGGGTACTTTGCCATCCACCTGTGTTATCTCCATGAGGACAAGGGGAGTCCAGTGACAAAGGGGTGGGTCCAGCATTTCCTTGGTTGTATTTGAGTTAGGTCCCCTAATTCTCTGCCCCTCTAGTCCAGAGAGTTGGTAATGGCCTTATTGGAAGAGAGAAGTTGATGGGCTGTGAGTAATATAGGTTTTGACCTCTTAGATACAAGTCATAGTTGGTGCTCACCTAGGCTCTGTAAGTGGGTATGAGGATCAGATGTGGGTCCAGAACCCATCATCAGGGGTCAGATTCTGGGCCTGTGGCATTATGGTCCCCACCCCTTGGGACCATGGCTGGGACTCTCCAGGCTATTTGAGGCAGTTATCTCCCTTTTACAGGGAGAGAGGCGATGATGGTAAGGCCAGCATAGCCTCAGCATCACTATAATCTCTAGTGGCTTTTATGAGCTAGTCATGGGGCCACAGCCTGGCCACCCAGCTATCCTTCTGTCCTAGTTTGGTGACTTACTCATGAGGGGAGAGGGCAGTGTTAGGTGCTAGGAGTTGTATTCTGGAAGCAAGCATCTGGCTGTGTTGTGGTTGATGTTGCCCTGTCTATGATTATGGCAGGCAGGATGGAGCTTAGATTTCAGGAAGAACTTCCTAGGTTGCCAGGAGAAAGATGGCTCTGGCCTAGGAAAGGAGGGGATTTTTTTTTTTTTTTTGAGACAGAGCCTCAAGCTGTCACCCTTAGAGTGCTGTCGCATCACAGCTCACAGCAACCTCTAACTCCTGGGCTCAAGCGATTCTCCTGCCTCTGCCTCCTAAGTAGCTGGGACTACAGGTGCCTGCCACAATGCCCAGCTGTTTTTTGGTTGCAGCCGTCATAGTTCTTTGGCAGGCCTAGGCTGGATTTGAACCCGCCAGCTCAGGTATATGTGGCTGGCGCCTTAGCTGCTTGAGCCACAGGCGCCGAGCCGAAAGGAGGGGATCTTAAAGCAATTTCTTCTCTAGTATCTCTACTGAAAGGCCTTGACCTTTGGCCTAATGGGCTTGGTGCCTTTTGGCTCCTAGAATTTTTATTTTCTTTTTTCTTCACCTGCTGGGGCTAAAAATATTTTGAAGAGTTTGTTTTAGAACAGTGGGGAGCTAGTCTTTCAGCCCCTTTCCTCCAGAAGAGGGGCTAGGTTGGGGTCTTGCATAAGGTAGCATGTCCAAATGCACCTGGCAGGCCAACAGCATGTACAGCGCACACTTGTGAAGGTGCAGTGCGTGCACATTCTGTGGACACCCACAGAGCAGCTGCCGCCCTGCAGGAGGTGGGGGTAGCGAATGGCAAAGATGATTAAAGGATTGGAGACTGGGGATGGGGATGAGAGAACCGGAGGCAAGAAGGCGAAGGGCACAGCAAGAACGCTGAAGAGAGAAGGGCTGACTGGAGCAGGAGGGATTGAGGTTAGACCACAGATGGGCAGACGGGTCCCTGTCTGCGAAATAAAGAGCATGACTTGTGAGTCAAGGAGCCCTGGCAGACTTCCCTCCTTGCCCCTTACTCCCCTCCCCTGTCTCTCTCTGTGGTTCTGGCCCATCCTGCCTCTACCCCTCACACTGACCCTGCGTGCTTGTGTACATCACTCCTGTTGGCCAGATGTACGGGAGTTTCACCTTTTGGTGATCAGAACACCTGGGTGTTTTGGTTTGTCTTGCTGGTCTCTGTTGCCTTCCTCACTTTGAGCAAGGCCACTCTGAGACTTCAAGGCTGCCTTGAATCCTCCGGCATTTGTGGCAAGTACTTGGCCTAGGTGATTCCTAAGGCCCTCTTCATCTGGGTTTTTCCTTTTCCTGAGGCCTAGGCCATAACTTTCCCTTCCTGAGAGCCAGTCCCACTTCTGATCAGTACTGGCTGGTGAAGAGACAGGGGTGCTGCCTGTTGACTCCATGTAGGTCCCCCCATACCCAGCCTGGAGGTGGGAAGCAGATCTCTCTCCTTTTTGCTGTAGGCTGGAAGGGGGAAGGACTTGTCCGAAGCTCTGGCCTGTTGCTGGCCACACCCAGGCGGGACCATATTTACTCACTTAAACTAACCCTCCCAAGAGGCTCTGGACTCTCGCCTGGTCACTGACCTTGGCTTGGTGCCTCTGGCTGGGTGCTCTTGCCACTCCCCTAGGGGTTGTGCAGACCAAGAAAAAATATAGAGGGAGCTTTTTTTGTCCCCTAGTCAAGGGAAATTTACCCTCAGGCATTACCCCACTCACCCAATTTTCCAATATACTTCAGAGACCAAAAACTAAAACTTTTGAAATCCCTGGGAACGGGAGGAAGGATGCTCCCATTTG